ATGCATTTTCCCACACATGCTGAACCTGCAATCAGGTACATGCCTTTGCCCAGAAAGTGAAATCAGACCTTTATAGTCCACAGGCCAATGCTCTAACCACAGAGCAAACCAGCCAGGGCTCATGGAGGTGTCATTTTTAATGACATTTGTCAACAACTCAAATGTCCAACACCGAAAGGGTTAGCAGTTTGGTTCTGGTGATTTTCAAACGTTTTTTCTTATGTTCCTTTCTAAACAGAACGCATTCGTATTATAATCCTCATACAGCTATTTTTACTTTGCAGAGACATCTGGTTCTGAAATGACAGAACCACTTCTCCCATTATCTTAAACAGTTGTGCAGGACAGCAGTGTGATCAGACTGCAAAAGACAGGGTGTGTGCAAATTCTTCTTCAGCCATGATCCACTTTTCATTTGCAAAGGAGGCTTGATAAAAAAAAATAAATAAATAAAAGGCCCTGGAGGTGAGAGAAAGGGAGACATCACTGAAGAAGGACTCTGCAGTGTGAGGCTGCTCAGCTGGAAACTGAGAATGGGAGTGATGGGAACAGGGAGGCAGGGGGCTGGGGTCGTGGCAACATAGACTGAAAATGAGCATTGATTCAGTCACCATAAGTTACCCCGATTTTTATCTACCTGCTTTATTGAGCAAATAGCCAATGAGGACAGAGACCCGGGTGCCATTTCCTAACCTGGAAATGAGCTCTGGGGCAGCGATGTCTCAGTTCACCAGCGCCCCCTCCTGTTGGATGAGCCACATGGCAGGTCCAGAAAGGAATGTGATTTTACGGAGGAAGAATGGAGATCCTATCAGAGGGAGGGACCAGAGGAATCTTGAAGATCCAGTCTGGCCCTAGAGACCAGGGGGCAGCATCTCACAAGTCCCTTATCAAACGCCTCCAAAACCAGGGTTCCAAGTTTGCAAAATTCTGCCTACCGTATGTCCCCTTACAGTTTCCTGATGCATTTTAGCATATCAAAGTCATCAAGAAGTCCTGCAACAAAGGAACTAATTTAGCTTTTCCAAAAATCTGTGGTCTCCTTTTACAAAGAAAGCCCTTTAACACCTCTTGGAAATAACGTCCCATTGGAACCAGTGCTGAAGAGGATCCATACATGAACAGGGCTGGGCTGCCCTGGGATCGGTCTGGAGACGGGAAGCTCCAGTCACCTTGGCTCGGTTTTCACGTTGGGGCCTCAGGAGCTGGGAGCTCGCTCCCTCTCAAACCCTGCTGGCTGGGCTCGGATGATAAGGATGCTGGCAGCGTTTAGTGCTTACTCTATGCCAGCTATGGGTAAGCGTTTGATGTATTCACCCATCTCATTCTCACAACAGTCTATAGGGTGGGCACAGGTTTTTATAGATAAGAAACTAAGTTGAGCCCGGCAAGCGTGGCTCAGTGGCTCAGTGGTTGAGCGCCAACCTATGAACCAAGAGGTCACAGTTCAATTCCCAGTAGGGGCACATGTCTGGGTTGTAGGCTTGATCCCATGGGGGGCGTGCGGGAGGCGGCCGATCAGATTCTCTCTCATCACTGATGTTTCTGTCTCTCCCTCCCTTTCCCTTCCTCTCTGTGATCAATAATATATATATATATATATATATATATATATATATATATATACACACACACACACATATATATATATATTTTTTTTTAAATACACTAAGTTGAACTCTCACTCATTGCCAGTGGAAACACAAAACTGGTACAGCCATGTTGGAAGACTGCTATACAGTTTGGGATGGGTCTAAATCCAAATAATGCCCACAGGGCCACCCGCCGGTCTCCTGACCTGAGGGAGCTCTTGCTGCAGATAAGAGAGGGTCCCAGAGGAAAAAGGGAGGGACTCGCTTGTTTCTGAAGTTCTCCAGAGGCAGACGCTGAGGGGGACCAGGTGTGAGGGAGGGAGGGCGGGCAGTGTGGGGTAGGGACTGAGAGAGGGCTGGCTGCCTGCTGCTCCTACAAAGTAGGGGGCACAATAGAAGGGCCAAAGGAATTCCTCCTGGAGCGGGAGGCAGCCAGGTGACGGGCAGCACCGTCCTCATCCTCCTTGCACCTGCTGGTATCTCGCGTTCTGCCGCTGCCCCAGGAGCCCACCAGTGTTGAAGTGGGGACTTCCTCCCAGGCCAGAGGGAGCAAAACCACTCAGCGGCCTGGCAGGGGCAGAGACCTGTGCCCCAGGTGTGTGGGGAGCCTCCCTCCTCCACCAGGGGGTCAGGGAAGGGGAGACCTTCCGAGGCCATCTGGGACTTTTCCAGGGGGCACCCAGGAATCTCTGTGGGGCCAGCACCAGCCCCCACACTGCTCAGCAGAGGGGCCCAGAGGACCCGGCCCCCCAGGCCCCCTGCCCTTTCCCGGTCCGGCCCCGTAGGAACCGGGGGGAGGGGAGGTCTGAGTGTTTCCCGGTTCGGTTCATTTACCAATGAGGAGGTGGTGCTCATGAGGGCAGCCCAAGGCCGGGTCTGCCTGGGCTCCAGGAAAAGGGAAAGGCACGCCCCACCCCCACTTCAACCCACCCCCACCGCCAGGCCTGCATAGGGCCTGGGGCTCCTAGTCTGGGGACTCCTAGTCTGGCCTTTGGGCCCTGTCGGCTGTCCTGTTCTCCCCCAGACATACCTTGGGTGCCCTCACCCAATGCCACCACTGGGCTGGGCTTATCTGTCTTCCTGGTTGATGGAGATGTTCCTGGGGCAGCCCCTGCCCGCCCCACAGGCTCCGGGCCAGGCCAGGTCTCCAGGAAGGGATCAGTGCAGGCCTCGCACCCCTCCTAGGCAGCCTGTGCCTGAGGCTGGGCCTGAGCAAACGGGGCTGTTCCATGGCTGGGTCCTGCTGCCCACCTCCCAGGCCCTTCCTGCTCCCTCCATCTCCCTCACCCCAGGGGCTTATTCTGGCCCCAGGGGAGTGTCCTGTCTCCCCAGACATTGAGGATCTCCAACCTTAACCTCTCCAGCCCCTGGGAGTGAATGCAGTCACCTGGAAGCTCTGCCCTTGTCAAAATTCCTAGTCTGACACACCAGGGAGTTGTGCGTTGTCATGTGCCTGCCACTAGGGGGCTTCCTCTCTCCGCCCATCTTCTGTCCTCAAGGCCCCTCTGAACAGCCAGCCCTCTCCCACCTCCACCTCATGCCTGGATCTGATGGGAACTGCCGGGTCAGCCTGGCTAGAAGCTGGAGGACATACGGTTTCATTTTGGACCTTGAGTTTTGTTGCATTTGAACCTTGAATCCTGATGCCCTCACTGCCCGCATTTCTGATGGATGTTTTTCTTGCACTGTCTTGTTTACTCTATTTCTCCAATCTGGTCCCCTTCGCCGCCTGATGCCTGCTGACGTCCTCTTCCGATTGCTTCCAGGCCCTGCCACACGGTCACCTTTGAATCTCTGTTCGGGCCCCACTGGGAGGGTCTCACTGTTTTTGAATTCCGAGTCTTCCATTTTCCGGGTTCTCACCCGGACTCGCAGGCAGGCGGGCTCACACCAAGGGCCACTTTTCTACGGCTGCTTCACCCTCTTTGTGGCCTAAAACAACATCGGTTTATTGCCTTCACGTCTGTGGCCTAGGATTCTGACATGCATCTCCCTGACGGAAGCCACGGCTTCAGCAGGGCTGCTTCCAGTCTGGAGACTCTGGAGAACCAGGGCCTCACCTTTTCCAGCTCCCGGGGCCTCCCTCAGCCCGTGGCCTGTGCCCCTTCCGCCTGCCGTCTTCAAAGCCAGCAACAGTGGGCTGTGTCCTTCTCCTATCACATCGCTCGGACCTCCTCCTCTGACTCCTTCCAGTTTGAAGGGCCCTTTTACGCGGGGCTCACCCGGATAATCCAGGAAAATCCCCCATCTCATGCCCTACATTCTGCACCAGCAGAGTCCCATGGCGGTCAGGAGAGAGGTGCCCACACCCAGCATCCTTGTCCCCCTGGGGCCCAAGCAGGGGACACATTCTGTGTCTTCTCACCGGGTCCCGCAGGACTGTGCCTCCGTAAAATATGGTAGCGACCATACTTTGGTAAAGACTGCTGTTTGAATTTTAACCCTTCTAGTCTGGCTCCTGCACCTGGTTAAACACAGGATGGTTACCTCAGCTTCCAGGTGGAGGCTAAGGCAATTTTCCTGTGCCTGGGACCAGGACCACAGGAGATTGATTCCCACTGACTCAGTAGCTTCAGAGATAGAAACTGTAGATAACCTTTAGAGACTAACCTCTGAGCTGCTTCTGTATTATTGGCTTTCGCAAGATAGGGCCACATTCCAACGTCCAGCAGGATGGGAATGGGATCAACCCTGTGGGCTGTTCTCAGCCTTTAGAATTTAGAATTTAGAACAAAGGAAAACTCCTGTGGTTTAGGCCTTTAAAAAGACTGCCTGCACTGAAACAGTGTGGTGCTCTTGTGGCCGTCCTGGCCAGTTTTTCAATAAATCCTTGCCTGCTTTTTTTCATCAATCATCAGCCTCTGGTGGTCTTATTTTGAACCCAGGGTTTGACCCCACAACACTCCGCTGCTCACACAGCACCTTCTTCTCTTGGGCAAATGTCATTGTGTTCCTCTCTCTGCCTTGGTTTCCCCACTTTCCATGAGAGCTTTTTGGTATCGCCTCCCAGATAAACTATCTGCACCCCCGCCCTGGTCCCAGGTCAGCATTTGGGGGGCCGCACGAAGACCAGGAGCCCTTGGCATCTGTGGGATGGGGGCCACGGGCATGAGCACTGGGGTGTTTGGGGGTGCTCCTCCACAAAACCCCACTCCAGTCGTCCTGGCGCCCAGGTACCCTGGCGCTCCTAATGTCCTCCCATAAATCACCTTTCTGATGGAATGAACCTGAGTGGGTTCTGCTGTTGGCAAACCCAAACCTGTAATAGTACAGGGGGGTGGAGAGAGATTGAGGCGTTAGGGAGTGATCTTGGGGTGGGCGGGACACGGGTGACCATGGGGGTGTCCAGGAAGCCACCTGGAGTCCACAGAACGTTCGGCAGCCACTGGAGCATGCAAATGTGTTTATTAGAAACACACATTAGGACGGGAGGCTGGGCTGCAGGAACGAGGCAGTCCAGGGCAGGAACAGGAGCAGCAGCACCAGCCAGGGGGGCGGCCCATGGATTCTGCCGCGGGCTATCAGCGTCTGCATCCATCTGAAGTGAGTGCTGACGTTGGTGTAGACGCCCGGGCGGTTGGGCCGACCACAGCCCACTCCCCAGCTCACAACTCCAACCTGATACCACAGCCCTTTCCTCTCGCAGGTCAAGGGTCCGCCTGAGTCACCCTGGGGAGCAGAACGGGTGAGCAGGGCCAGGGGCCAGGGGCGGGAGGGGTTCGCAGAGAGCAGGAGGGACTGTAGAGCCGGGAAACCTGGGTACACATCTCACTCCTCCCCCAGGGAGCGCCCGAGGCTCTGCATCTGCAAAGGGGGCTTCGGTCTCCACTCCTCAGGTGGGCACAGGCACCGCTCGGCAGGGGCTGGGTGGGGGGGAGACGAGGGCCCCGGAGGCTCCGGCTGGGGGGGGGGCACTCACGAAGCAGGCATCCTTGCCGCCTTTGTCGTTGCCAGCACAGACCATGTCTCCCCAGATGTTGTAACGGAAAGAAGGCTCTGTGAACATGTAGTTACACATGGTGGTGTTTATGATGCCGACCTCCACCTCCTGGAGGGTGTAGGGAGACGGCAGATCTGCAGAGGAGTTGGGAGACAGAAAAAGAGGGCGTCCTGAGACTCCCCTCGGCCGCCTGGCTGGGGGGATGGTGTGGGTTACCCGGTGGGGGCAGGGCAACCGCAGAGCCTCGAAGGGGAGCTAGCATCCAGCACCTCAGGGATGATGAGCAGAACCACAGAAGGACCCAATAACTGGACCAGCCGTTACAGCTGCTCCCAGTTTCCCTACGTGCAACATGCAGGTGACAGCGGTGAAGAGAGACCGGGAGCATCCACGGGGGAGGGGTAACGCAGCTGAGATGTTTTAGGATGAACACATCTCAGGGCCTGAGCCAAGCCCTCCCACAGCACCCCCAGGCTGCAGCGCAGTCATGACCCAGGTGACCCAAGAAATGGCAGAGCCCGACAGGAAGCCAGGTCCGTGCAATTCCCAAATCCGGGCTGGGATCACTGCCTTTTCCTGCAGAGGGTCGTGACCACAATTACACCAAAAGCTGATGTGTCGGCAGAGCCTTCCATCTGCTGGCACGCTGCTACCCTGCTGTGTGAATGCTTTTAACCCCCAGAGCCACCCTATGAGGTGGGAACTACTGTCACTCCGCTGTGCAGGTGAGGAGGTGGAGGCACAGTGAGATGAAGTGCTTACACAAGGTCTTGCTGGAGGCCAAGGACAGTAGTTAGCGTAATCAATGTGAGAAGTTCCTCAGAAAGCTGATGGACATCTCCAGCAGGGCTAAAGATCTCCTTATCATTACCTGCTGCCAAACAGCTGAGGGCAATTCCCCCAACCTGATAATCCTTTATTGTTTACCAAACCTTACCTTTGATGTGTACATCTGCTTTGCTAAAGGGAAAAATCCTATATAATAAAAGGCTAATACGCAAATGACAGAATGGTGGAATGACCGGTCACTATGATGCCCACTGGCCACCAGGGACAGACACTCAACGCAGGAGCTGCCCCCTGGTGGTCAGTGTGCTCCCACAGGGGGAGCTTTGCTCAGCCAGAAGCCGGGCTGGCGAGCACAGCGGCAGAGGTGGGAGCCTCTCCCACCTCCATGGCAGTTCTAGGGATGTCCCTAAGCCATCAGTCAGACATCCCCCCAGGGCTCCCAGACTGCCAGGCTGAGGGACACCTCCCCCCTTAAAGTGCACGGATTTCATGCACTGGGCCTCTAGGGTGTTAATAAAAAGCTGTGGGTAGACAGCTCTCTGGGTCAACTTCACTAGAGAGCTGGTTTCCTCCCGAATTTATATTTCTTGTCTAGTCCCTATTCCACATGTGTCAAACACAAGGCCCGCGGGCCAAATCCGTCCCGCCAGGCCTTGCAATGTGGCCCGCACCGCGCTGTCATCACTGCACTCCGCTGCGTTTCCATCACAATGACAGTTTATGACTGTTCAGGAAACCATTCGGCCCGCGATTTAGGCTGGATTTTAGATTTTGGCCCCTTCTCTGATTGAGTTCGACACCCCTACTCTATTCATTTATGCGCAGCCCTCCTCCAGATTCCTGAACCCTTGCTGCGAAAAGACTGCGGCAGGTCTTCCAGCTAGCGCCTGGCAGAGCTAAGTTTCACCTCAGGCAGGGGGGCTGCACAAGACACCTGCCACCTGTGAGAATGCCGGGGAGCCTCGGGCCAGGGAGGGAGGGAACGGTCTGCCTGGCTGGGCCTCCCTGAAGCCCTCTGGGGCCAGGCAGAGGCGCTTTATCCGGCCCCTTCTACCGGAAAGGAAAGGACCCCACCTCCAGAGGGAGGCGAGCCTAGTGTTGACTTCCCTATCCCCCTTGCCAATTCCAGATGTGTGACCATCCAGAGAGAGCCCTGGCTGCTCCAATGACCCCTTCTGGAGTCTTGGGCAATGTCCATACCCTTGCCAGCTTGCTCATCTGTAAGGTAGGTATAAATAGTGCCAGCCTCATTAGCAGGGAAGCTCCTGACGGGAGATAGGCGGTACTCTGCTCGCTCCTGAGTCCTCAGAGCCTCGAACAGTGCCCAGCGCAGTGTGCGGGAGAGAGCTTCCTCTGTTATTATTACTGTTGTTGAGGGTGAGGCAGGAATGGGCCAGGCCAGGGAGCGGGTAGGGGGCAGTCCGGGTGGAGGGCCTGTGCCTCCCCTGCAGAGGGCACCTTGGGGGAGGCTGAGCCCAGCGGCTTCAGGGGATTCACGGTGAGAGATAAGCAGGGGGTGGCTCATACGGACTCAAAGACCTCCTGCAGAGCCACGGTTCGAGGATAGTTGACATTCTGAGGACAGAGAAATGGGCTTAGCGTTCCCGGAGAGCAGGCCAATGTGGAGGAGCCGGAGCGGGGAGGCTGGGTGGCTGGGGGAGGGGTGAGCACCTTTCTGACAGGCCCTCCTGGGAAGGCACGTGGGCATTTCTTCATCGTCAGCTGAATCCAGTGGCGTTGGCAAAGCCGCGCCCTGGAAACACGCTTTGCCAAAAGGCAGGAGTGTTGTCAGCTTGACCTTCAGCCCAGGTGCCAGGGGGTGCGTTTTATTTAAATCCAGCACCAGGAATGCAGACCACTTCGGCCCACCCAAGAATGTGCATAATCTCCTTTGTTTTAGTAAAACTTCCTGGTTTTTTTTTTGCTGTTTGGGCAGTATTGGCTCGGTCCCTGTCCCTGTCCCTGTCCGAGGACAGTGGTCCCATCCAGCCCCAGTTTTTTCCTTCCATCTCTGTGTCTGTCTCTTTCATTTCCTTTTCTCAATCCCCAGCCGCCCCGCCCCTCCCCAGGAAGCGGACTCTCTAGCCCAGTGTTTCCCAACCTTCTCTCATGATGAGAATCACCTGGTGGAGTTGTTAAAACACAGATTCCTGAATCCCAACTAAGAAGTGCTAAACTAGAATTTTTGAGAACATATAGGTAAAACTGCATACCTAACTTAGTGCTCTGTATATAAAATCTGTCTTAGATCACTAGTTAAGTATACAATTTTACCTATATGTTCCCAAAAATTCTAGTTTAGCACTTCTTAGTTGGGATTCAGGAATCTGTGTTTTAACAACTCCACCAGGTGATTCTCATCATGAGAGAAGGTTGGGAAACACTGCTCTAGCCGAGCTGGAGGTGGAAAAGAGATAAACATTTTCACCCTCCCACCCCCCACACCCCTGCAGGTGGAAGGCCAGCCTGGGCCACGCTGGCCCCCTCTCACCACTCGCTCTGGCTCCGGCTCTGGGGGGAAGAGGGAACTGCGTGGGCACAGGAAGTCCTGCCCTTTCGCGGGGAGCAGGAGTGCACAGCAGGTGGGGAGAGGATGCTGACCAGGCCCACCGAGGGGCCCAGCTGATGCAGCTGGAACAGGGGGCTGAGGACCATGCCCCTGCTCCCCTGCCCTGGACACCCCCCGCCTCCTGTCCCCAGCCTCACCCACATTTTCTTGGATGTCCCCCCAGCCGGTCACCCAGCAGTCAGACCGGTTCTGGAACTCTTTGAAAGAGGCGAAGACACAGACGGGCTGGATGGACTTGGAGTAGGTGACGGGCGAGGTCAGCCGCAGCATGGCGATGTCGAAGGCTGTGGCCCCCAGGTACTGGGGGCTCAGCACGATCTCCCCCACCTGGTAACGGTTGCGGTAGGCCTGCAGGTTCCAGAAGCTTGGTGCGGCGGTCAGCTCGCCAAACTGGACTGTCCATGAACCGGGGTAAAGGTTACTGCAGAGGGAGAGAGCGGTCAGGAGCCTTACCGAGGGCGGGCTCCCTGGCAGCCCGGGGCCTGTTCCCAAGAGCGATGAGCTCGCCCTGACCGGTTTGACTCCGGACAGAGAGTCAGCCTGCGGACTGTACGGTCCGGGTTCGATTCCGGCCAAGGACATGTACCTTGGTTGCAGGCACATCCCCAGTGCAGGATGTGCAGGAGGCAGCTGATCATCTCTCTCATCGATGTTTCTAGCTCTCTATCCCTCTCTCCCTTCCTTTTTTATTAAAAAAATCAATTTAAAAAATATATATTTATTTTATTTTATTTCCCTTTCTTAAAAAGAGTGGTGAGCTCAGCCGCTGTGGCTCCGTGGTTGAGCATAGACCTATGAGCCAGGAGTCACGGTTCGATTCCCGGCCAGGGCACAGGCCCAGGTTGCAGGCTCGATCCCAATGGAGGGTGTACAAGAGGCAGCCGATCAATAATTCTCTCTAATAACTGATGTTTCTATCCCTTTCCCTTCCTCTCTCTGAAATCAATAAAAACATTAAAATAAAAATGAGTGGTGAGAGGTTGTCCACAGAGGTTGCAACCCTCTCAAATCCCAGAAACTGGGGACTTCGGGGGTCGGGGTGGGGCAGGCGTGATCTGGCCAGTCACTCAACCAGCCTGCCACCTCTCCCAGCCCGCCTGAAACAAGAACGCAGATGCGCAGATGCCCACGTGGGACGCCCCGCAGAGCGGTCAGAGGAGCTTCCAGGGCCCTCGCTGGTTTGGTTCTGTGGACACAGCGTTGGTCCCGGGCACACACCGTGGCTGCAGGCTTCTTCTCCGGGGCTGGCCCTGGTCGGGGCTCTTGCAGGAGGTAACCAGTCGATGTGTTTCTCTCACATCGATGTTTCTCTCTGTCTTTCCCTCCCTCTCCCTGAAAATCAATGGGAAATGCCCTCCGGTGAGGATTGAAACAAAACAGCTTCTGGGGCCCCTGTGGCCACAGGCCAGCTTCTGTGCGCACTCACCCACCTCGCTCGCTCCTCCCACCGGCGGCTCACCTCCCCTGGGAGGGGCGGGGAGGGGGTGAAGGCTAGCAGTGCCATTGGGGGAGAAGAGAACAAGACAGAGACAGGAACAAGACACGCACATGTGCCGGGGAATGTTCTGGAAGACCCTTCTGGGGGGAAACCGAACGTTCCCTGCGGGCCCAGCTGCAGTGGGGCCCGCGCACAGCAGAGGCGGAGAGCAGGGCGCGGCTCACCTCTCGAAGCAGTGCGCCGCCGTGAGCACCCAGCGCCGGTTGAGCAGGCTGGCGCCGCAGGCGTGGTAGCCCCACAGGCGCAGGCTGCCCTGCCAGGGCCAGCGCCCGAGCGCGGCGTCCATGCCGCCCACCACACGCGTCCCCACGGCCCGGCGGCCACAGGGCCCTGGGTGGATGGACAGACCGGACCGGACTGAGCTGTGGGCGACGGGCCCGAATGCCCACCCCGGCCACCGGGGGGCGCGCCAAGGGAAGGGGCTTCCCGGGAGGGGAACCGCGCGCATCTTGGGGTCACGCACCCCCACCCCCACCCCCACCCCCACCCCCACCTCCACTGGGTCTGCAGGAGCCCCCCCCTCCTCCCCCCAGGGGCCCACCAGTTACATGTGAGCAACGACGAGTTCCGGAAACCTGGGGGAGAGGGATGGAAAGGTGAGGCGCCCCTGGCTCGCTCGCCCAGGGGTCCAGTCAGGGGGCGAGCGCTCCGGACGCCTCACCTGGAAACAGCGTTTCTTCCTCCGGCCACCCTGAGGGAGGCGAGAAGGAAGGTGAGCCACGGCGGTCTCCGGGCTCCCCATCCTGGCCCCCCCGCCCCGCAGGGCGCCGGCACCTCACCCAGCATGTCCAGCTCCACGCGCACCCACAGCTGCACCAGCAGCAGCACCGCCGCCGCCGGCGCGCCCATGCCGCCTCCCGCGTCTGGCGCCCCCTCTGCGCCTGGCCGCGCCGCCCGGCTGAGGCGCCCCCTGGGGGAGCGGGGACCCCGGCTGCCACCTTCTCCCAGCTGGACCTTTCCGGGTCGGAGGGCTTTGGGAACACCTGACCTTTCTGGCCTTGGAGCTTTTCCTGGGGCTGGATCAGCCGCACCCCCCGGATAGGGCCCAGGAACCAAGGCACAGAACAACCCCCTCTGGTCTGCACCTCGGGGTCCCGCTGCCCTGCTGCTGCCCAGGAAGCAGCAATGACCAGGACTCCATGAAAGAGCTAACGGTCAGCTCTAACCGGTTTGGCTCAGTGGGTAGAGCGTCGGACTGGGGGGGTCCCAGGTTCGATTTCGGTCAAGGGCACGTACCTTGGTTGCGGGCACATCCCCAGTTGGGGGGGGGGGAGGTGCAGGAGGCAGCTGATCAATGTTTCTTTCTCTATCAATGTTTCTGGCTCTCCCTTCCTCTCTGTAAAAATCAATATTTTTTTTTTCTTTTTAAAAAATAAAGTGCTAGCCGGAACCGGTTTGGCTCAGTGGTAGAGCGTCGGCCTGTGGACTGAAGAGTTCCGGGTTCGATTCTGGTCAAGGGCATGTACCTTGGTTGCGGGCACATTCCCAGTAGGGGGTGTGCAAGAGGCAGCTGATCGATGATTCTCTCTCTTCGATGTTTCTAACTCTCTATCCCTCTCTCTTCATCTCTGTACAAAAATCAATAAAAAATATATTAAAAATAAATAAAAAATAAAGTGCTAACAGTCTTCACTGAGGCCTGCTGGGGAAGGGTGCTTAGGCTGGGCCAGGAAGGGGAGATAAATGATGGCCCTGGGCCTTGTCTCTTCCTGAGGAGGCACACAGGCTAGTGCCCCCTGCCCAGGCTGCCCCCTGGTGGCAGGCCTCCGCTCCTCTCCTCCTCCTCCTCTGGATTAAATCTTGAAAGGTGGAAAGGATCTTTCAAACACTTACATTCCTGGGGTGCTGGGCTAAGGAAATCACCAACACGGAAGCGAGAGATACCCTGGTGGTTGTCCATCCCAGAATCCCTGTGACCAGTGACGCCGCGTGGGGGTCCCAGGAAGGCTGTGCCTGCCTGGTAGCTCTCTGTGCCCAGAACACCACCAGACTCCCTGGAATTCACGACGGTGAGTTACTTAGCACTGGCTTCCGGGAGTCCCTCCAAGCAGCACTCCCGCCAACAGCAGCCCCACACAGGAAGTTGAGTTTACATTACAGGAAGGTGTTTTTACCCAAAGGAAGGCGTGTTTCCCCCATAGAAAGGTGAAATTTTCATATGGTGTGTTTTTCCCACAGGAAGTACAATTTCCACCCAGGAGGTTTATTTTCTGCAAAAGGAGTACTATTTCCCCAAAGTAACCTGTGTTTCCTTTACATGAAGGTGTGTTTCCTCCAGTGGAAGGTGGGTTTCTTCCATAGGAGATTGTATTTCCCACACAGGAAGTATTATGGCCATGACAGGAGGTTGTGTATCTCCAAAGGATGGTGTGTTTGTCCCACGAGAAAGCATTTGTCTTCAGGAAGTTGTATTTTCCCAAACCGGAAGGAGTGTTTACCCCACAGGAAATTGTATTTCCCCCACAGGAAAAAGTGTTTCCCCTATAGGAAGTTCTATTTCTGCCACAGGAAGGAGTGTTTCCCCCATAGGAAGTTCTATTTCCTCCACAGGAAGGAGGATTTCCCACACAGGAAATTGTATTTCCCCCACAGGAAGGAGTATTTTCCCCATAGGAAGTTCTATTTCTCCCACAGGAAATAGTGTTTCCCCCACAGGAAGTTGTATTTCCCCCACAGAAAGAAGGGTTTCCCACACAGGAAATTGGTTTCCCACACAGGAAATTGGTTTCCCACACAGGAAATTGTATTCCCCCACAGGAAGTTGTATTTCCCCCACAGGAAGGAGTGTTTCCCCTATAGGAAGTTCTATTTCCTCCACAGGAAGGAGGATTTCCCACACAGGAAATTGTATTTCCCCCACAGGAAGGAGTATTTTCCCCATAGGAAGTTCTATTTCTCCCACAGGAAATAGTGTTTCCCCCACAGGAAGTTGTATTTCCCCCACAGGAAGGCTTGTTTTGCCCATAGGAAATTGTAGTTCCCCCACAGGGTGTTTGCGCCATAGGAAGTTGTATTTCTCTCTCAGGAAGGTGTATTCCCCCTACACACGCCCCCCTGCCAGAGTGCCCGTGGACTCCAAGGCAGGGCCACAGAGGCTAGAGGGTCCTTGGATGCTGCCCCAGAGGAGAGGGGAGAGCTGCTGAAGGGTGTGACCACTTCAGCCGTGCGTGGGAGAACCAGGCTGAGGCTGAGGGGCTCGGGGTGTCCTGGGACAGAGGCTGAAGCTCTCATCCAAAGGGTTTCAACCTGCCCTTCCCTCGCCCTGACTCTTCTGCCCCCTGAAGTTGTCCACAGGGCCCCCCATTCACACACCTGCCTGGGCCTGAGGTCCCAGCCCTGCGCTCCCTCCTCCAGGCGCCAGCTGGCATGTCCACAGCCAGGCCCCAGGCTTCCCTGGAGAGACGGAGTGCAAGCTCAGCCTGGCCGAGCCTTCGCCATTCGTGCCCAGGGTGGTATGGATCCACGCTCAGCCCTGCCCCTGACTCCCGGCACCCAGGTCTGCCCATGACACTGACCAAATCCCCCAGGTCTACTCATGACCCCGGGACTGACCTTCTGCTCTGACCCCAGGGCCTCCTGACTGCATTGCTCTGCCACCCACTGAGCCTAGGGACAGGGCTGCTGGGGGGAATGGACTCAGGCCAGCCCTGCAGCTTGCAGCCCTCATTTCCCATCTGAAACACGGAAATATTGATAATGGTAATGTGCACCTCGGGGCTGCTGGGAGAGCCTTTCACACACACCCTTCCGGGTCCCGAGGCAGGGCCGGCACCTGTTGGGATGGCCCTCTGCCAGGTCATCTTTATTGCCTTCAGACACACATGACTACAAAGGGACCAGCCCAGCACTGGGGCTGGAAACCTCCATTCCAAAGAGTCCCAGAAACCCTCAAAGGAATCCCTGAGCCGAGGTGCATGCTGGGACTCAGCCTTGGATGGTGGGCGAGAAGCAGGAAACACTAGGCTCTGTTCCTGGGGAAGGGGGCGTGGGGGTGGAGCCCAGCCTTGCAGGGAGGGTGAGAGAGCAGCTTAGTGCCTATGGGGGGCACATGAAGGTCTGAAGAGGGAGAGGTGTGAGGTATTACAATGGGGAGCCTTCTGAGGGGAAGGGGCCAGAGAAGGACAAAGGGTTTGGTGGGTGGCGGAAGGCGGAAGGCAGCTTTCAGGGAGGGCTTGGGGAGAAGCCCCTGTGAGAAGCTGCATACTGCATTCCTGGCAGGGGGCGGGCCTTGGGTTTGCGATGTGAGGACGCAGGTCTGAGGGTTGAGCTGCAGGGTCAGGAAAGCCCCAGGGACACGGTGCCCCCCAGTGGTCCCAGAAACAACAACAAGGCGGTGGAAACGGTCCTCGCAAGGCCTGGCGAGAAGCTTCTGTCGTCAGGGGCTGAGCTCCCGATTGTGCTGAGAATCCACGTGGTGTAGACACTGACGTTGGTGTAGACACCTGGCTTCTTGGAGAGGCCACAGTCAGAGCCCCAGCTCACGACCCCGGCCTGGGTCCAGACGCCACCAACGTCACAGACCAGGGGGCCTCCGGAGTCACCCTGGGGAGACAGAAGTCCAGAAGCGTGGGGCCGGAAGCTGCCGCCTCTGGGCCAGCCGCCCTCCTTGCATGGAGGGGAACTGGGGTTTGCGGGCTCCCAGGCCCATCAGCCTCTCTTCAGGACACAGAGGCCTGGGGCACAGAGCGCAGGGTGGGCTGGCTCAGGATCGGGGACAAAAACCCTGGCAGGTGGAACAAGCAGGGGACACCCTATTCTCCGCATGAAGCTGTGCTTGTCAGAGTAGGGGCTCGAGGGAGAACTGTGCTGCTAGCAGTTCTATTTGTTTCTTTTTTTTCTTTTTTCTTTTTTTTAATTAAATATTTTTAATATATTTTATTGATTTTTTTTTTTTTACAGAGAAGAAGAGAGAGGGATAGAGAATTAGAAACATCATCGATGAGAGAGAATCATTGATCAGCTACCTCTTGCACGCCCCCTACTGGGTATGTGCCCGCAACCAAGCATCGAACCTGGGACCTTTCGGTCTGCAGGCCGACGCTCTACCCACTGAGCCAAACCGACTTCGGCCTGTTTGTTTCTTTTTGATGAAAAAAAAAAAATCTGAGACAAAACAATACTAAGAGGCGACAGAGACAGAGTCTGCTTTGCTAATAAGATCAGCGAAGAGAAGACAGGACGGCTCCGCACGGCCTGCTCCTGGGAAAACGGGCTTAAAGCCACGCATGTTGTTCTGGGGAGAGACGTGTCTGGCCCCACAGGAAAGCCTCGGGGAGGGAGCTGTCACAGCTCGCTTCAGCACACTCGCAGGTGTTCCATGTTCTGATAGTATTTTGTGATGTCTGAGAGGAGGATAGGGCTCAGGAACGTTTCTTTTTGAATTGACCCTCGTATTTAAAAAAAAAATTTTTTTTAAATGTCGCCCTCGTCTGCTTTGCTCCCCCCCCCCCCCCAGGGGGTGCGTGCTCACCTGGCAGGCGTCCTTCTGGCCGTCCTCGAAGCCGGCGCACAGCATGTCTGCCAGGATGATGGGCTCCTGGCTGGGGGTGATGGAGTTCTCATGGTAGTAGGCGTCGCAGGTGCGGGTGTCGATGAGCGGCAGCTGCAGCTGCTGAAGAGTGAAGGGCGGGAGGAGCGCTGGGGAGGGAGCGGGAAGCAGAGCTCAGAGGGGACGCCGCGGCCCGCACGCGGATGGACTGATGACAGGAAGCCGTTTCTGTGCGTGGGAACCTGCATTTGTGCTCAGGACGCCCCTGTGGACATGCCTGTGTTTGCCACTCAAACACCTGGAAGACATGGTCCCTTCCTCCCGGAAGCAGGGCGTGCACAGAGCTGTGGCAGCCCCTCAGCCTCCCTCCCAGTGCCCGGGCAGGGGCGTGGGGTGGGCACACGGGAGGGGCGTGGGCAGGAGCTGAGACCTGGTGTCAGGGCCTGGCTCTGGCCGAGGAGTGTAGCCAAGCCTCATCCACCAATGGCCCTCCTTCTCCGGGCTTCCCAAGGGTCAGGTCAAAAATGGGTTGAATCGTGTCCCTCAAACCTTCACGTCCACCTCGAACCTCAGAATGCACCGTATTTGGAAACAGAGGCTTTGCAGGTGTAATGAGTGAGGATGAGGTCGGACTGGGTCAGGGTGAGAGGGCCCTCACCATCAGACAGAAAGCGGGGAGACCGCAGGGAGACGGCGGTGGGAAGACAGGCAGAGAGCGCAGTGATGCCCCCCAGCCCAGGAGCCCCCAGAGGCGGGCGAGGCAGGAGGAGGCCCCGGACACCTGCTTTCAGGCCCTCGGCCTCAATGCCCGGGCGAGCGTGAATTCCTGCTGGTTGAGCCGCCCAGGATGCCCCATTTGTGACGGTCGGCCCAGGCACTAATCCAGGGAGACGCCGCAGCCGCGATGTGACCACGGCGGCGATGGGTGCCGATCGGTGCTGAGAGCTCACTCTTGCTCGGCCCGGCCGGCACCGCCTGAAGTCATTCCGCGGATGGACCCCATGAGGCCGGAGGAGGAGGCCACCGCCTGGCGAAGCTGACGGGCGGAGTCACCCAGCCGGGGCGCGGCCGGGCGGTCAGGCTCTGCCCTGCCCCTCTGCTGGGCCTGGCACCCATCCCTTGGTATCGGAGGCCGGGATGGTGGGTTGGGGAAGCCCGGGATGCGGGTCTGGGGTGGCGGGCGGCCAGGGGCAGGGGCTGTGCCAACAAGTGCGGGCTCCATGTCCAGCCTGCGTGAGGGTGGCGGCGGGTGCGGCTGCCCCTGGGAGCCGGTCGGGAGCAGCCTCCGCTGCGTCCTGATGGATCCCCCCTCCCCTCCCCCCCTGCCGCCCGCCCCCAGCTCCGGTCCTCACCTTGGTTGGAGTTGATGTTGCCCCAGCCGGTCACCCAGCACCAGGTGCCGTGGCCCAGGGGGTCTCCGGGCTTGGGGAGGCAGACGGGGAGGATGAGGTCGCTGAAGTTGACCGGGGCGGCCAGCTGCAGCAGGGCGATGTCCCCGCTGCCCTGCCCGCCCCTGTAGCTCGGGTGGGGGACGAACTGGGCCACGGCGCGGTGGTGCGGGGCCTGGCTGGCCGGGGGGTAGGAGGAGATGGTGCCCAGCAGCACCGCGTAGGCCTGCAGGGGCTGGTTCCTGGGGCCAAACAGCAAGAGGGTCGTGAGGCTGTGCCCAGGTCCCACGGGCAAGGCTAAGGACAGCCTTGGTTTGAGGCCCTGACACCGCAAAAGGATGTGTGCGTGTGTGTGTGCGTGTGCGTGTGTGAATGTGTGTATGTGTGCATGTGTGTGCATGTGTGTGCATCTGTGCGCACGTGTGCGTGTGTGTGCGTGTATGTGTGTGCGCGCGCGTGTGTGTATGTGCGCGTGTGTGTGTTTGTACACATGTCAACAAGGACAAGCACCTTGCTTAAGCCACAAGCAACCCTGCAAGGTGCCCAGTTCTCCCTCTGTTTGGGGGGAGGAGACGTCGCCTGCTCCAGGCTGCCCAGCTGGCAAATGGTGGAATTGAGACCTTGGATTTCCAAGGGACATGCTAACGTGGGAACTTCGGGTTTCTGGGAAGGGAACACTTTCTGGGAAGGGTCAGTGCTGAGTCTGTCTCCTCCCCACTTCCTCCCCAGGGCCCAGTCTGGGGCTGGGGGCACCTTGGGTGGATAAGTAAGACCCTAGGAGGACACGTTCCTGCCGCCTCCTGCCCAGGCTCCTGTCCAGATGGGGGAGAGGCGTGGGAGAGGGTGAAGGGCGGGTCCCAGCGGCCCTCGCTCGGGTGCTCACCGGTCAAAGCAGTGGGCAGCAGTCAGCACCCAGTCCTCGGTGATCAAGGAGCCCCCACACACGTGCTGTCCGTACTCCCTGAGGCTGACCTGCCATGGCCACCGGCCCAGCCGGGCATCCTGCCCGGACAAGATTCGCCCTGGCACGAGTGGGCGTCCACAAACTGCAGGGTAAGGCATGGGCCGGGTTATACGAGGTGCCCTCTGCACTCCCCTCGCCCTGCAGACCTGCCCTCCTTTATCCCTGCCCCCAGCGGGCTGACATCTTGTCCCCTCTGATTCAGGACTTTTGACCGTGGGGGCAGGCGCACAGCAGCTGAGATGGGGCAAGTGAGATCTGGGCCCTGGATTGCTCAGTCCAGCTCAGTGGGCACAAGGAAGGTCAGACCACTTGGCCGGGCTCTGAGGGAGGGTCTGAACGCAGCGCCTGGCACTGGGGTTTGGAGAGAAGCCATGAAGGCGCTGTGTCCGGGGAAGTGGGTGCCGGCCCCAGGGGCGGGGGTTCTTAGAGGGCCTGCCATGTACAAGGCTCGCAGGGCAGGGCCAGGATTACATAATCCTCTCTCTCCCTGTCTCCCGCCAAACCCAGGCTCTCCCTCCTGCAGTGCCTTCTCCCACCCTGATGTTTGTCCTACCTGAGTCCGGGTCGGTCGCTCTGGCATTGGTCAGGTTGGATGGGAGAGCAGGGGGGCTTCCCTGGAGGACTGGCAGGAGGGAGAACAAGGTGACCACGCCGGCCGGCTCCATGGCTCCTCCACTTGCCGGATGGCCCTTCGGGTCAGAGTCCACAGACACGCAGGAAGGGGAAGGTGACTGCGGCTCCAGCCCAGGTTTTGGGCCCGCCCTGGGGCGGGGCTGGCACCTCCACCCCACCCTTCCAGTGCTCCTGGGCACAGGGACTCTGGCCTCTGCCACATCCTTGGCAAGACCCTCGGGCCTTCCCTCCTTTGCCCAGGCCCTGGCATCACAGCCCAGCCTCTCCTGGCCTCCACCAGGCCACCGTATGGTGCTGCAGCAGCTCGGTAGGCATGGCGTTCTCACCGGGACTTTATTTTTATTTTTTTACATTACTTATTTATTTATTTTTAAAAATATATTTTATTGATTTTTTACAGGGAGGAAGAGAGGGATAGAGAGTTAGAAACATCGATGAGAGAGAGTCATCAATCAGCTGCCTCTTGCACACCCTCTATTGGGGATGCGCCTGCAACCAAGGTACATGCCCTTGGCCGGAATTGAACCTGGGACCTTTCAGATCGCAGGCTGAGGCTCTATCCACTGAGCCAAACCGGTTTCGGCCATCAATTCTTTCTGATTGAACCAACCTGTGAGGGTTACAAAATATGTGTGGTGCCGACAAGGAGAGAAGGAACCGGACTTAGGGAGTGGTCTCGGGGAAGACAGGACATGACTATGAGTGTCCAGAAAGCCACCCAGGTCCACAAAACACCCTGCAAGGAACCAGTGAAAACGCACATTTATTAGCAAAGGAGCCAGAGGCGTGCCCACAGCCCTGGGTGAACGTGCCTGGGCCCTGGTCAGGGCACACAGGCTAGCTGCACCAGCGGGGCAGCCCACAGCAGAGGGAGGAGCAGCAGGAGTGGGGAGGGGTCTGGCCTGGTGCTGTGGCCCATGAGCTTCTGGATCCAGCTGAAGTATCTGCTGACGCTGGTGTAGACGCCGGGTCGGTTGGGCCTACCACAGCCCACTCCCCAGCTCACGATTCCAATCCGAATCCACAGTCCATTCTTTTCACAGGTCAAGGGTCCACCTGAGTCACCCTGGGGAGCAGCAGAGGTGAGCCTGGCCTGGGGCAGGAGGGGCCCGTGGGGAGACCCCAGAAGGGGAGGGGCTATGGAGCTGGGCAAACTAGGTGCAAATCCTACTCCTCCCCCTGGAAGTGACCACGCCTCAGCCTTCACATCTGCAAAGGGGGGCAAACACCGCTCACGTGAGGTCCCAAAGAGACACTATCAAGGCCAAACGAGCTTTGATAGGCGGGTAAGTAAGGGCGAAATCACTTTCTCGTTAATCACCTCTGAGGGTAGGTTGGTCATGGGGTGGGGGGGTGCCTCAGGCCAAGGTCGAGAGGGGTGGTGCCCGTTTCCAGCGAGGCTCTGGGGCAGGGGCACTCACTCCGCAGCGCCGAGCTTGTCTGGCTCCTCACGGGTGTCCCAGAACTCAGCTCAGCACGACGGGGGATCGGGCCAGTAGGGCCATGCAGGGGCCCCTGGAACTGCTCGGGCCGGTCTGCGTTGTCACAAGCTCCCCACGTGCTATGAGCTCAGGATGTGTGAGGAGCTGCGGTTGGCCCACATTTCTTCCCTCGGTTCCCCACCGGACAGTCCCCGGCTGTGGAGAGGCAGGTGGGAGGTCTTCAGAGAGCAGGCCTTCCTGGTTTCTGCCCACACCTGCCAGCAGTGATCACACCCACTAGAATTTCTACACCCATCTCTGTCCCTACCCTGGGGCAGCCCTGCGAGGCTGGATCTCCCTTCCCCCTGGCCGCCATGGGGAAGCTGATGCTCAGTGAGGGTCAGGACTGCTGGGGTCACCCAGCTCACAGGGGCCTGGGTCCAGAGAGCCCTTGGCCAGGCCTGGGGTCTCGGCTCCACGTTGGGCCCGGCCAAGTCGGAACTTGGTGCCTGAGCAACCAGCCCTGTCGGCGGCCTGGGGCCTGGGTCAGGTTTGGGGGAGAGCTGCCAAGGATCCTCCGGAGCTTCCTGGCCTGACCGCAGCCCCCTCCTCCCCCACCTCACTGCCCTCGCCTGGCTGGGCTCCTGCCCGCAGCTCCCAGCACCTTGGCCCAAGCCAGGCTTCTGTTGAGAACTGCAGGCGTCCTTTCCTGCCACCTTGGACGCGCTGCTCAAAGCATCTTTGTTCGAGGCCGGACAGGTGAAGCCGCAGCCCCTCCCTGGTCTCCTTAATTACCCTGGCCAGGCCCGCCCCCTCCTGGCCTTTTAAGCCCCCACACTCCCTGCCAGCCCAGTCAGCCGGGAGGGCACGGGCTGAGGGTGAGAGCAGGTCCAGGGGCTGGCAGGGTGGGAGGGGGCAGCCGTTGGGCAATGGGAATAGAGGGTGGGGAAGGGGTTTGCCTGGAGGCCTAGGGTACCCTGGGCTCAAAGGGGCTGGAGGCGAGGGTGTTCGCTGGGGCCTGGCGGGCCCTGGGCATAAGCCTGAGACCAGCCGGGGCTGAGGGAAGACAGAACAGCCTCCGGGACACAAGTGCTCCGGGCGAGGACCCTCCGTCCTCTCCGCAGGCCCCACGAGAGTCTAAGCCCCGGGCAGGGCCACCCGTACCCCGCACAGTCCCACAGACAGAATGCGGGGCGCGCCCCACCTCCCGGTGCTGCTCCTGCTGCTGCGAGGTGAGTGTGGGGCAGGGGTTCCGGTGCTGACCGCAGATGTCCCATCTCCCCCTCGTTGGCCTGCTCCCTTAGCGCACACCAGGGCAATCTAATCTCAGCTTCAAGGGTTCAAGTTCTCTCTGCCCCTGACCTTGGGCTCTGCAAACCTGGAGGTGCTGTCTTCACCAAGGGCATAAGTCCCTTTGGGGGAAGTTAAATTGGATAACCGGTTGGACAAAATCGCAGCACCGAGTTAATGCGACAAATACGTCCCACCTTCCTTCCTTATCTGTAACCTTCCTTCCCCTCAGTCCGTTATCTGACACCAAATCCGTAATCCAGTGCCTTCCCTCCTTCCTCTTCCAGGCGTGGCTGGGACGCTGGAGTCTGCAGGTTGGGAAGCCTCAGGTCCCTCTCCCCACCCCACCCCCGTCCCTCCCACCCCCGGAGCCCACCCCCACCCAAGCTTGGCTCTAAGTCTCCCCGCCGCCCACCCCCGCCCCACCCCCCACCCCCTTCCCGAGCCTCCGGTCCCCCGCCCACCCTCGCCGCCCTGTTCTCCCGCAGCCTGCGGGCAGCCCCGCGTGTCCAGCCGGATCGTAGGAGGCCGGGACGCGCGGGCCGGAGAGTGGCCGTGGCAGGCCAGCGTCCAGCGCCGCGGGGCGCACGTGTGCGGGGGCGCGCTGGTCAACCCGCGGTGGGTGCTGACGGCGGCGCACTGCCTCCGGAGGTCAGCGGCCCCCAGGCTCCGCTCCGCTCTGGGACTAGGGGATGGGGGCCGGGATGGGGGTGCGGGGGGCAGTGCGGCTCCATCTGGCGGAGGCGCGGGGCCTGGGGGCCTGGGGGCCTGGGGAGAGGGGGACCCCAGTAGGTAACCCGCTCCTGTCCGCAGGCAGGCGCCCGTGACCGAGTACCGCGTGCTCCTCGGGGCGCTGCGCCTGGGCCGGGCCTCGCCCCGCGCGCTCTCGGTGCCGGTGCAGAGGGCGCTGCTGCACCCCGACTTCTCCGAGGACGGCGCCCGCGGGGACCTGGCGCTGCTCCAGCTGCGCCGCCCCGCGCCCCGGAGCGCCCGCGTCCAGCCGGTGTGCCTGCCCGAGCCCGGGGCCCGCCCGCCCCCCGGGGCTCCGTGCTGGGTCACCGGCTGGGGCAGCCTCCGCCCGGGAGGTGAGGCGGAGGGTGGGGCGCGGGGCACTGGGGTGGGGGGGGGGCGGGCATCCCCCTCCTCCTTCCTCTGACCGGGAACCCCTCCCACCGCGGCTTCAATCTGGGAATCCCCAAGCCCTCCCAGTCCTGGCAGGTTAGATACTCAGGTGAGGCTTCTCCCCGCACCCTCTCCCGGCCACCGCACCCCCTCTCCTCTCTCCTCTCTCACAAGCCCCCTTCCCCCCAGTGTCACTCCCGGCGTGGCGGCCTCTCCAGGGAGTCAGGGTGCCCGTGGTGGACGCGGGCACCTGTGACCGCCTCTACCACGTGGGCACCAGCGTGCCCGGGGCCCAGCAAATAGTGTTGCCGGGGAACCTGTGCGCCGGCTACCCCCAGGGCCGCAAGGATGCCTGCCAGGTGCGTGGCTCTGCCTCGGACCGCTGAGTCCGTGCTCCTGTGCCCAGCACCCTCCCTCCCTGGAGCCCAGGACCGAGGAGGTGCCACCCCCAGGGTCCGCATCCTGGCTCCCAGCCCAGATGTACCCCCTGGGGGACGGGAGCCCCGGGACTACGGTCATAGTCTTCAGAGCTCTGGGGCCTGAGCTTGCCTTTCTCCCACAGGGTGACTCTGGGGGACCCCTGGCCTGCTTGGAGTCTGGGCGCTGGGTCCTGGTGGGCGTGGTGAGCTGGGGCAAGGGCTGTGCTCTGCCCTACCGGCCGGGCGTCTATACCAATGTCGCCACGTACAGCAGCTGGGTCCATGCTCGCCTCGGCCACTGATGTGGTGACCCCTCTGCTACTTAGTCCCTCTTGGGACCTGTCCATCCCCCAGCCCTACCACTTCCGACTTGAGGCTTGGAGGCCTGATAAAGCTAAGGAGCCATCTCTCCATCCATCAGTCCATCCCCTGCCTTCCTTGGGGCTCACCAAGCCTGAGCTGCCAGCCCTGCCCCAGCTCCTCCCATCTGCGGGGTCTCATGCTCCTCCTTTCCCTTCCTGCTCACTTCCCCTCCTCAGCTCCAGCCAAGGCTGGGCCTGGGCATCCAGAGACGGTAAGTGGCATTCCCGGTTGGGCCTGTGTGCCCCTGTCTCTGGAGGAATCAGGGAGGGTCAAAGTGTAGAGGGATTCGGCACCACGAAGATGGTTCTCCATCGCTAGCTCGGAAGATGGGAGGGGGTCACACAGCCAGGAAGGACAAGCAGCCTCCGTCAGGGGAAGGGACATCTCAGCACGCTGACCGAAAGGAACCAAACCTGGACACCTTGCCCAAGCGCGGAGGCGAATTCTTCCCCCGGCCTCCAGCGAGATCCTCTAGGCCCCGCCCTTGACCTGGGCCTGGTGAGACGCAGCTGAGCCCAGCCGGACTTCTGGCCCACAGAGCCCTGACTTAGTAAATGTGTGTTTAAAGCCGCTGTGTTTGTGGTCACTGGTTACACAACAGGGAATGAATCTAGATTTTGCCTCATCACCGTGAAGATGCCTGGGGGCAGGGTGGGCCTCCACCAGCTCCGGAGTCTGGACCGCCTGGCATCATGCCCTCTGCCCCCAGGCAGGCCTGGCTGGCGTTTCTGCTGTTGTTTCTGTCATTACACCACCCAGGCCCTGGGGGAGTCTGGGGCTGGGTCCTTGCCTTACACAGAACCCCCACGCCCAGGACCCCCGACACCAAATCTGGAGACAGGCTTAGACCCTGTACAGCTCCCTTCCCACCTTCATGTGGCCAAGGACACCCGTTCAGTAGATAAGCTCAGTTTCTAGAGCTGCAGGGAGAGCAAGAAACTGAACAAAACCTGGGAAATCCAAAGACTAGTCTTAGGAGTTGACAGCAGCAGTGGGTGAAAAGTTAACAGGAAGGCCATCAAAGGTGGGGCAGGCCAGGCCGCTGCTCCCACAGAGGCCTAAGCCTGGTCTCCTTCCTTTTCTCCCAGGAGAGGAAGTGGCTGCACCAGTGGTCCCTGCGGGGTTGCTGTAGGCCAGGCCAGGCCAGTGTGAATCTACGGACCGGACGGGGCAGCAGGGAACTCCAGGCTGCTCTTTCCCCCAGCGTGAGGGCCGTCCCTTTGGGGTGGAGCTTGGCTATTTCTTGGGGGTCATTGGGGTCTAGGGTGTGCGAACAGGGCATAGCTATGGCAGACCAGCCTGTAAAAGGCTGTGGTCACATCTGTGGAGGGACCAAAGGACCTCTGTGGGGTGATGTTAGCCATTCTCCCAATTCTTCCTCAGCCTGAAGCCAGCCAAGGGCTGCCTCCCAAAGCACTGAGATGGTCACTGGGGCTGGAGCCAGGGCTCCTCAGCCTTGGACCTGCTGTGATTTTAGTAATCGGTTCCCATTCAGAGTCCAGTGTTTCTGAAGTACAACCTGGGAGCAGGGTAGGGGCAGGAACTGGGCAGGGAAGGGAAGGGCCAGTGAATGGGCAATGCTACTCCTGGGCAGGCTCTTACCAGGAGTCTGGGCCACTGCAAAGGGCTTTACTGGACTCTCGGTGGGTTTTTCAGAGGCTCCGTGAGGTAGGTTTGTTTCTTCATTTGTCCGATGAGAAAACTGAGGCCTGAAGCCATGCAGCTGGTAGGTGAGAGACTGGAATTTGAACTCAGGTGGTCTGATTGCAGGGGGAGCTGGGAACAGTAGTGTGGAGATTACTCCCTTTGCTGACTTCGCTTCTTCCTACGCTGCTATTGTGGCCTCCCAGCTCCATTCTTCTTGGCCTGTTCCTGGTGTGGCAGCCTTGTGGGGCTGGGCAAGTTGCAGCACTTTTCAGCCTGGCAGGCTCACTGGCACAGCAGCCTGTACTGCAGCATCCTGTCAGCAAGGTCAGTGGGGGGCGGGGGGTGGGGGGGAGAGGATGCTAGTCTCTTATCTGAGGTAGGCATTTTCTAGTTGCCCACCTACTCCAGTCTGTGGTGCTACAACCGGATGGCCTTGTCTCTCCCACTACTGACTCAGCCTCATTTCCGCACTCTAATCTGCACTGGTAACAACGGCCTTATCAAGGCTGCTAGGAGAATCAAGTTGACAGCTACAGCAACCATGGATTTGCCCACTGAGCATGTGTGCTGTGCCAGGCAAGGGTGGGCTCTCTGGGTGCTTTCATTTCCCATTCCGTGGGTGAAAAACAGGCCCTGAGAGGTCAGTGACATGCCCTAAGGCTCACAGCGGGTAAGAGATGGAGCCAGAATTGAATGTGGGCAACCGACTCAAATTCCTTGTCGCTTCCCTCATGGAGATTAGTTAATTGTAAAATACTACAAATGAGAGGAACAGTAATAACTAGTGGTCATTATTACTATTTATTAATCAATGTTAAAAAAAAAAAAAAAAAAAAAGACAGGAGGGGAAGGCCCACAAGGCCAAGACGCTGCAGGCTTACTTCTGAGGGTGCCTGTTGTGAGCATTGGGTAGTGGAGGCAAGGGAGCAGAAGAGTCCAGGCCTTTCTGGGCTGAGAAGCAAGAGCAGCTGACTAGCCAACTCACCTTAAGATTTCCACTCTGTCATGGCCTCTAGGAGGGAGGACATACATACACCCAGCGAGACCACAGAGCACAGGGGTTGGGAGTGGTCAGCCCGTTCTCCCCTCAAATTGTACCCCCACCCCATTCCTACGTGTATGAAGTATCATTGCACTGAATGACAGGATGCCCACAGTCACCTCCCGCAAACAACCGACCAAGTGACACCCACCTGCCTCTGAAGGGAAGGACTCACTGCCTCTCCCAGGCCAGGTGACCTGAGACAGTTTCAACCAGACACATCACTACCGGAACCCTGGCATTGCGCTCTCTGTGCATTTGTTCATTAATGCTCCCAAATATCCCAGGGGGTCCAATTACATATTCTCTCTTCAAGGACAGAAAACAGGTGGAGGTTCAGTGCCTTGCCCAAGATCACACGTAATGGGCTGGGGCTGGAACTAAGTCTGCTGGAGGAGGCTGGGGACAGGCGTGATTCTCAGGGGGATGGGATGGGAGGGAAGAGGGCTGCCCCACCCCCAGGCCTCCAGGGTGACTCCTGGTGAACATCAGCTGGGACACCAGCTGGGCGGACAGGTCAGCTGTCCACAGGGTGGTCTGCAATACAGCCCAGCTCCAGAAAGATGTGCTCAGGCTGCATCTTTGGACATCATGGGTGGCGAGGGGACCTCTCCTGTCCCTGAACCCCAGGACTCCATCTGTACCTGCCTCATCCTGGGAGGCCTACTGGCTGCCTGCTTAGCCCTCCCCTCCTCCAACTCTCTGTTCGCAAAGATGCTGATATTAAGGAAACTTTCAGGCTGGCCAAGGACTTGCCCTGACACTTCCTGACTCAGGGGATGAAGCCCAAGTGGATGTCAGCCTGGGCCTAGCGTGCTAGCAGGGAGCTGCTGCTGCCTGGTGTCCAGGGAGGGAAAAGTCACAAGAGGTGAAGGGACTTCAGAGGATTTGTCCTCCCTGAGAAGGCAGGGAGGACAAGTCAAAAATAACTCCAGTTAGAGTTTAGGAAACATCTATTTCGTGGTACCTCTTGGAGAGGCTCTACAAACTTTACAAGCGGTTATTTTCTCATCTTGAAGGAGAGGGAAGTAGGTCCTGATGAGTGAGGTTAGCCGCCCAAAACTGCACAGTCAGTGCTGGAACCAGGACTCGTATCAGTTGATTTGAGCCCAGAGCCTGTGCAGCGAGCCACCAGCTTGACTCGGGGCCAGGGCAGCTGCTTCCACCCACTCTCAAGAATTCTCACATTGCAGCCCCAACCTCTGCAGAGCTCTGACAGCCAGCACCATCCACTGGCTCCTCTCTGGGTGCCAGGCACGGACTCTGACACACACACCAGTACTGACCCCGGGAGTGGTTAAGTGAAAGAAAAGCTTCTATCCCTTGCTCTAGTTAGTGTGACTGCAACTGGGAGTGACCCAGGACCGTGCCCAACACTGAAGGAAGCCTGTGGGTGAGGACAGTCCCGCAGAAAGGCACCTAGCCAGGGAATAAGTCTAGAGGCTGGCGGGTGCCCAAAGCCCCTGGGGCCAGGGACCTCCCCTTCTCTGCTCCAGGCCCAACTCCCTGACACCACCAGCAGCTTCCCAGGGTCATTCCAGGCCATAAAGCTCCTGTGACCTGTAAGAAACAGACTTACACCTAAGGCTGGGGAAGGGAAGTGTGGGCAGTCCTCCTATATGGAGGCAGGAGGTCCGGAATTTAAAACCTCCTCAAAATGGCCGCCAGAGCCAAAACTGGTTTGGCTCACTGGATAGAACGTCAGCCTGTGGACTAGAGGGTCCCGGGGCTCGATTCCGGTCAAGGCCAGTGGGGGGGTGTCAAGGAGGCAGCTGATTGATGTTTTGCTCTCATTGATGTTTCTAACTATCTCTCTCCCTCTCTGCAAAAAATCAATAAAATGTATTTTTTAATTTTTTTAAAATGTATTTTTTTTAAATGGTCGCCAGAAAGCCCTTGGAATCATGAGTCAGGCCCCTCAATATGGCAGCCAGGTCTCACTGAGATGCTAATATTTGCCTCCCCAACGACCAAGAAGCATATCATTTATTCACTCTTCCTGGAGGTGGGCGCACCCGAGGCTCTGAAGCTGGGGTCCAGCCCAGGACTCCCTCTCACTGATCAAGACAGGGATCTGGCACCCAGACCGTTTGGCTCCATGGATAGAGCTGAAGGGCATGTCCTGTGGTTGCAGGCTCGATCCCAGGTAGGGGGCGTGCAGGAGGCAGCTGACCCATGTTTCTCTCTCATCCATGTTTCTACCTCTCTATCCATCTCCCTTCCTCTCTGTAAAAAATCAATAATAAGTAAATAAATAATAGATAGGGACCTCGCCACTCCCAAGATGGCGCCGTTTCCAACTATGTCCCTCCCGCATAGGATCGCTGCCGGACTCCCACCACTCCCCGCGACACCCCGGCCGAGACGTCCCTCGCCACGGCGCCAAGATGGCGGCCGGCCATACGGTCTGAGTAATCCGCTTTCTGACCACTTAAAATGGCGGCCTCGGGGCGGGGCCTCCGGGCGCGGGGCACGCTGGGAGCCGGCGCGCGGGACGCCGGGAACGGGGCGGAGCGCGGCCGCGCCGGCGCGTCGAGTGGGAGAGGCAGCTGCTGCGATGGTGAGCGGGCGTGGGGGAGGGGCGCCGGGCTGGGGCCGGGGGCGGCGGGGGCCGCGGGCCGCGGGCCGCGCGGGGGGGTCGGGGGGGGCCGGGTCCCCCGTTCATGCCAGCCCGCTGCCCCCAGGACGTTTTCCTTATGATCCGGCGCCACAAGACCACCATCTTCACGGACGCCAAGGAGTCGAGCACCGTGTTGGAGCTGAAGCGCATCGTCGAGGGCATTCTCAAGCGGCCGCCCGACGAGCAGCGGCTGTACAAGGTGCGGGGGCCCCGCCGGTCCCGGGAGGGCGGGGGCCTGGCGGAGGCTGGGACCGGGGCGATCGCTGCCCGGAACCGCCTCCCCGCGCCTGGCCGGAGGCGCACGGAGGCTGCGTCGTTGATGTAAACAGTAGTGGACGCCGCGGGCTGAACCTCCCCCACGTGGGGCGGTGTTCGAACTCGGGGAGACGGAGCAGCGATAGCGTTCTCCCCACGCGAGGTCGCGGTGAGGGAGGGATGGGATTAAAGCCGCGGGCCGGCGTCGCAGTCGTATCCGATCCCTACAACGGTCCCACCCGCGGCACGTTCCGGCTCTTGACATCCCTGCGCAGTTGTTAAGGCAACGGGCTAGGCGAGTGGCCACTTAGGAGCCCAAGGTCATTGGCCCCGCCAGGATTTGATTCTGGATACCTTTCATCCTCCGCAGGCCCATCAGAATCACACTCACCCCCAGACACGCCATACAAAGCAATGGTATTTGGGTGACTCCGGTCCCACCAGCTCTTCACTAAACGGCTGTTACTCCCCAACCTTGCTGTTGGGATAAAGCTCCCGCACCCCCATCCCTCCCTTCTTACAACCAACTGGTTATTTAGCAAGGATGGCTTGTGGTCTGGGTTTTCATTGGGGGAGTCTGTGTGTCAGCCCCCGATTCAAGTCTCTGGAAGCAGGAGGGCCTTTACCTAAGTGGCTGATACCTACCCGGGCTTCCCTGCCAAATGTACTCTGAAATCTCCTGTTTGGAATCCCAGTAATTCCCATCTTACAGATAAGGAAACATCACGTCAAAAGGTTTACTTTGTCCAGGGCAGCAGAGCTGGGATTCAAACCATGGCTTGCCTGTGGTCAGATTAAGTAACTGGCTCTTAAGATTAGATTCGCCAGGAGTTTGGGGAATAAACATTCCAGAGCCCCCACCTTGGGAGGTTCCAATTTGGAGAGACTTGACCGTAGCCCTGGAAACTTGGATGAACTCTGTCCTGGGCCCTCCTGTGGGCTGTCTCTCTACCCTTTCTGACGCCCAATGTAGTTGTTGACCAGAGAAGTCTTTGGGACTTGACCCTCCTGGGGCCTCTCCTGAAACCCTGCCTCTCTCCTCAGGATGACCAACTTCTGGATGACAGCAAGACCCTGGGCGAGTGTGGCTTCACCAGTCAAACAGCGAGGCCACAGGCTCCAGCCACCGTGGGGCTGGCCTTCCGGGCAGGTGAGAGGGGCAGCCAAGCCAGCCAGGGTTGAACAGCCAAAGTTAAGGGGTCATCGGGGAGCCTGCAATTATTCTTCCAGGACAGTGTTTTCCCAGCCCACAAACATCAGGCAATATCCGGTGACTGTATTTGTTACCCCACAAACAAGACGCTTGTAGAAATTGGAGCCTATTTCGTGAAGGATTCAAAGGTCCCTATTCATGACACCAGTTTATATTTACAGGGGGCTTTTTTTTCCCTTTCCTTTTCTTAATTCCCATCCCCCTACTCTTCTCCTCCTTTGGCAACCATCAGCTTATCTATGGGACTGTTTTATTGCATTTATTCATTTGTTTTGTTTTGTTTTTTAGATCCCACATATGAGTGAAATTATAAGGTATTTGTTTTTCTCTGTCTGACTTCATTTAGTATGATACCCTCTAGGTCCATCCATGTTATGGCAAATGGCCAAATTTCATTCTTTTTTTATTGCTGAATAATATTCCATCGTGTGTGCGTGTATGTCCACATCTTCTGTAGGTCTTGTCCACATCTTGGCTATTATTAGTAATGCTGCAGCGAACAAAGGAGTGCATATAATTTCTTTTCAAATTAGTGTTTTTGTTTTCCTTGAATAAATATCCAGAAGTGTAATTGCTTGGTCAATATGGTAGCTCTATTTTTAATTTTTTGAGGAATCGCCACTGTTTCCCATAGTGGCTACACTAAGTTTACAGTCCCACCAACTGTATGAGGGTTCTTTTTTCTCTACTTCCTCACCAGCACTTATTACTTGTTGATTTATTGATAGCGTTCTGACAGTTGTGAGGTGATAGTTCATTGTGATTTAATTTGCATCATTAGTGATGTTGAGTGTCATGTTTGTTGGCCATCGGTATGTCCTTTTGGGAGAAATGTCTGTTCAGGTCCTCTGACAGTTTTATGTAATTGGATTGTTTTTTTGGTGTCAAGTTGTATGAGTTCCTTATATACTTTGGATATTAACTCCTTACAGATGTGTCATTGGCAAATATCTTCTCATTCAGTAGGTTGTCTATTCATTTTGCTGATCATATCGTTTGCAATGCAAAAATTATTTAGTGACGTAGTTCTATTAAGTTTTTCTTTTTTCTTAATGTATATATTTGATTTCAGAGAGGAAAGGAGAGGGAGACATAGAAACATCAGTGATTGAGAGAATGTCACTGACTGCCTCCTGCAGTCACTAACTGGGGATTGAGCCTGAAACCGAGGCATGTGCCCTGACCTGGAATCAAACTGTGACCTTCTGGTTCAGAGGTTGACATAACCACTGAGGCATGGCTGGATGTAGCCTTGTGTTTTTGTTTTTGTTTTTTAAATACATTTTTATTGATTTCAGAGAGGAAGGAAGGGAGGGAGAGAGAGAGACTGAGAGAGAGAGAGAGAGGGAGAGAGATGGAGTTGGGGGGAGAAAAGAGAAAATAAAATAAAAATGAATGGAAGAGAATCATTGATTGGCTGCCTCCTGCATGTCTTCCCCACTGGGGATTAAGCCCAAAAATCAGGAATTCAGTGGTGATCTCCTGGTTCATAAGTCAATGCTTAACCACTGAGCCATGCCAGTCTTTGAGAATTAGTTTTAATTCTGAGAAGAGTGCCATTGGTATTTTAATACAATTGCCTTGAATCTGCATATTGCTTTAGGTTGTAAGGACATTTAACATTTATCCTTCCAGTCCATGAGCAAGCTGTAAAGCTGTACCTTTACATTTATTTGTATCTTCTTCAATTTCTTCAGTGTCTTATAGTTTTCAGATACAGGTCTTTCACCTCTTGAGTTTATTCCAGGTATTTTTTTAAAAATATGGTATATATAATTGATTTCAGAGAGGAAAGAAGAGGGAGAGAGAGATAGAAACATCCACAGTGAGAGAGAATCATGGATTGGCTGCTTCCAGCAAGTGTCCTTGACCGGAATTGAACCTGGGACCTTTCAGTTCGCTGGCCGACGCTCTATCCAGAGCCAAACTGGCTAGGGCCCAGGTATTTTGTTTTTGATGTAAGTGTAAATAGGATTGTTTTCTTAATTTCTTCTTCTGATCATTCGTTATTGGTATATATAAAAATGTAACAGATTTCTGTATATTGATTTTATATTCTTCAACCTTACTGAATTTATGTGTTCTAGTATTTGTGTGTGTGTGTGTGTGTGTGTGTACAGTCCAGGGTTTTCTATATATAGTATCATCTTATCTGCAAATAATGAGAGTTTTACTTCTCTCTGTTTTTGATGCTTTTTATTTCTTCTTCTTGTGTCATAGCTGTGGCAAGGACTTCCAATACTATGTTGAATAGAAGGGGTGATAGTAGGCATCCCTGTGTTGTTCCTGATCTTCAGCTTCTTAACCTAAAAAAAAGGAGGCCTTTGAAAGTGAGAGACAACAAGCATTTATTTGGGGGTGGGGGGGGGGGGGGTTTAAGTGCTTATTTGGGTCTAGCCGACTTGGCTCTGAGGTCAGCCTATGAACCAGGAGGTCAAGGTTCAATTCACAGTCATAATGTATGCCAGGTTGCAGGCTCCCACTCCAGTGTGGGATGTGCAGGAGGCAGCCAATCAGTGTTTCTCTTTCATCATTGATGTTTCTGCCTCTCTCTCCCTCTCCCTTCCTCTGTGAAATAAAGTTATTTTTTTAAAAAGAATACCTATTTGCTCCAAAACCGGTTTGGCTCAGCGGTAGAGCATCGGTCTGCGGACTGAAAGGTCCCAGGTTCTATTCCGGTCAAGGGCATGTACATTGGTTGCGGGCACATCCCCGATAGGGGTTGTGCAAGAGGCAGCTGGTTGATGTTTCTCTCTCTCTCCCTTCCTCTCTGTAAAAAATCAATAAAATATATATATTTTTTAAAAGTACTTCCACTATTATTAAAAAAAAGAATACCTATTTGGGAAACACTAATTCGTGGCAGAAGCAAATATTGAATAGGAGACAAAGAAGTGGATAATTGATGAGAAAGGGAAGGGGAACAATTCCATCAATGGAAGAAATTTTTTTTTTATCGAAGTAGCTTTTATTTAAAAAATATATTGTATATATTGGTTTTTTTAGTTTATTTTTTAATTTTTTTTACAGAGAGGAAGGGAGAGGGATAGAGAATTAGAAACATCATGAGAGAGAAACATCAATCAGCTGCCTCCTGCACACCTCCTACTGGGGGTGTACCTGCAAACCAAGATACATGCCCTTGACCGGAATCGAACCTGGGACCTTTCAGTCCGCAAGCCAACATTCTATCCACTGAGCCAAACTGGCTAGGGTGAAGGAAATTCTTTCTATTGATGCAAATAACATAGCAATGTTAATTCTGAACAGTGTTTGTGATTTTTAGTCCAATAGTCTTCAGTCCAGTAGTTAAAATAACTGCTTGTATCATTTCAAACATTTCTTTAGGACACAATGTTGCTTTGGGCTCAGTCCAAAGGTTGTTTTGTCTTAGCATTCCAAAGATTTGAGGCATAAAGCATGCAAGGCAGCTCCTCCTGCGTGTCAGCTCTGGCTCCATTTAGTTTTGACAAATTTCGCCATGGAGTATGATATTACGTGTGGATTTGTCATATACAGTCTATAGTATGTTGAAATATGTTCCTTCTATACTCACTTTGTTGAAGAGTTTTTGTCATAAAAGGATGTTCAATTTGTCATACTTTTCCTGCATCTATTTATATATTTTATTTTGTTAATATGATATATCACATTGATTGATTTATGGTTGTCCGTCCATTCTTGTATCTCTGGGATGATCTTGATCATGGTGTTTAATCCTGGTTTGCTAATATTTTGTTGAAAATTTTACATCTATGTCCATCAAAGGTATTGACTTATAATTTGTCTTTTTTTTTTTTTTTTTTTTGTAATGTCTTCATCTGGTTTTGAATGAGTTTAGAAATGTTTCTTCCTCTTTTGAAATAGTTTAAGAAGGTTAGGTTTAATTCTTCGAATGCTTGGTAAAATTTATATGTGAAGTTGCCTCCCTCTGGGCGACAGGCATGGGGTGCGATTGCTGGGCTGGCCTGGGCCTCCATCTAATGTATTTTTCATTTCAGTTGTGTGTTCTAAAGTTGTGCTTGTGAGTAGTATACTTGCTAACTTTGTTGAAGTTCTAAGTTCCTCTTTTCTGCTCTCAAGTTTGGAGAGCATCCTTATGATTATTTGAATTCTTTGTCAGGAAAATCATTTGTTTCTGTTTACTTCAGGTATTTTTTGGGGGGATTTTTCATGTTCATTCATTTAAGAGATACTCTTTTGTCTTTTCATTTTGTTTGACTTTGTTTGTTTTTATGAAATACACAAAATGGCTCTCCCCCCCGGTCATGAAAAAGTAGCCTGAGGTAGAAGCAGCCTATGTAGGCTGTGTGCTGGGTGGTTCTGGCAGGCAGGTAAGGGGTGTCAGGTGCATGTGGTAGTGACCTGTCGATTTTCCTTGCTCCCTTTGCTACGGACTGAAATGGGCTTAGGCAATGTTTCTGGGAACGTGCTACAGGGACCTTGTAGTAGGCCAGAGCACCTGGCTAGAGCCCATGACCACCCTGTGGAGGCAGAGGGGGACATAAACAAGTTTGAGGAAACAATGCCAAACTTGTAGAATTCCCTGCAGTCCCGGGGCTCCCCACCTTTCTCTGCACACGCTCTTTTTTGCTTATTGTACAGAAAGTGGTCTTGTGAAGAAGTTACCTCTAGGTAGTCTTAGCTGGAGCACTAGCCTATGTGGGCTAGTGTGGCTCCCAGCAGGCGGCCAGGTATTTGTGGTGATGCCTTATTTGTGGCTTGTTCCCTCTGTTGGGAGACAAAAGACTGCAATGTAGCCAGGAACACCCAGGGTGATCTTGCAGGTAGGCCGAAGCACCTGGTTAGAGCTCCCAGCCCTGTCAAGTCTAGGGGAATGTGAACAATGGTGCTCACTGGCTTCTCTGGCCAGTTCCCACAGCTGCTAGATGGCTTTGTGACTTCCCAACCTTCTCTATTCTCTTATTGTTTAGAAATTGTTCATTCAACCCTGTTATCTTGCATGAAGAACTGCTTTATTATTTGTATACTTAGTTTGCTCATGGGAAAGGGCGTGTTTAACTTTCTCTTATGCTGCCACCATCTTGGACCTGAGAGGACCTACTGAGTACCTGGGCCCTGTGCTCTGTGTTCTATTTTCATTGTAAGGTCTCCTCTTTGTTTCGTTAATCCTCACCCAAGAATATTCCCGTCCCCCGTCCCCCCCCAATTGATTTTCAGAGTGGGAGGGAGGAATGGGGAGATACTCTTTGGTGCTTGGGCTTGTGCTCTAACCACTGAGAATACTGGCCAGGGCCTATCTCATCCTCTTGGTAGCCCTGAGAGGTAAGCATTGCCATCCACATTTTGGAGGTGTGGACACAGACTTGCCAGCAGTTATGTATGGGAGTCATAGTTCAGATGCAAGCTGTCAGAACCTTGCCTGAGCTTGGCACTCTCTTAACAGTACATTACTTAATCTCCCAGCTTCTCTGTGCAGACTAGAAACTTGTACCATATTAAGGATAAGTTAACTGTATGTGGGGAATTCAGATCATTTGCTAAAGTGGGTAGTGTTTCCTTGTGCAGCTTGCAGAAGGACAAGACATTGGTCTCCTTACCCACAAAATGGCTTCAGTTAGGGAATTGACAGAGTTCAACTTACATGTTAAATGGCATCATCCAGACTGTACCCAAGGAATGGGAAAGGTTGATGAAGGCAAGAATTGTCACTGGATTTAAGATGAATTGGTTATAAAGCTGGTTAGCTGTCTTAACTTCAGTACTATTGATATTTGGGGTTGGGTAATCTTGTGTGGGGTTGTCTTGTGCATTGCAGGATGCTTAGCATCTCTGACCACTACCAGAGATGCCATCTGCAGACTTCCATCTCCCAAGTTATGATAATTCAAAGATTTGCCGGATTTGGCCAGTTTTCCCTGGGGGGACCTAAGAGATTGAGAACAGTCTCCTGGGTGGAAGGAAGTGCAAAGAAAAGTGAAATGGAGCCCAAGCCCATTTTGCTCAACGGATTAAGAGCATCAGCCTGTGGACCAAAGGGTTCCGGGGTCAGTTCTGGTCAAGGGCACATACCTTAGTTGCAGGCTTCTCCCTGGTCCAGGCCCTGGTCAGGGTTTGTGCAAGAGGCAATCAACTGATGTGTTTCCCTCACCTCGGTTTCCCTTTCTTCCCCTCTCCCCAAAAATCAATGGAAAAATATCCTCGAATGAGGATTAACAATAAGAAAAAGTGAAATGGAGTTCATTCACCCTGTGCTGACAGGGAAGCCACTGTTTCTAAAGAAAGCCGTTTTGGCCAGTTAAGTGCTCCAAGGCAATGCATAGGGCATTGGGATCAGAGTGGTGATTCACGTGGGAAGGTTGGGGAAGGCCTCTCTGAGGAGGCTTGGTTTGAATGTCATGGAATAGCATAGCCGTCTTGGGCCACTAAGTGCAAAGGCTCTGAGGCAGAAAAAGCTTGATATGGGAACTTGGAATAACACAGGAGTGACTAGAAAAACAAGATGGCAAGAACTTCACGTTTTACTCAGACTATGTTATAAGATATTGGAAGATTTTAAGAAGGGATGAAATAGCCGAAAACCGGTTTGGCTCAATGGATAGAGAGTTGGCTTGGGGACTGAAGGGTCCCGGGTTCGATTCCGGTCAAGGGCATGTACCCAGTAGGGGGTGTGCAAGAGGCAGCTGATCAATGATTCTCATCGATGTTTCCGACTGTATCTCCCCCCCTTCCTCTCTGTACAAAATCAATAATATATATATATATACATATACATATATATATACATATATATATATATATATATATATATATATCTTTTTTTATTTTTTTTTTAAAGGGATGAAATAGTAGTCTGGTTTAGTTATTTTTTAAAATTCTCTCCAAAGAATATTTTTCTCATTGATTTTTAGAGACAATGGGAGAGGGAGAGACACATTAATTGGTTGCCTCCCACACAAGGCTGGGGATTGAGCCTGCAATCAAGGTTTATGCCCTTGAATGGATATGAGCCTGGGACCCTTTCAGTCTGAGGGTTGGCACTCTACCACTGAACCAAACCAGCTAGGGCTCATTTGATTTTTAAAATCACTGCTTGGTGGAGAAGGGATGTGAAGGAAACAAGGAGATAGGTGCAGAAGGTAAGGAAATGGGCTCTACGGATGGCCAGGCTCAGGGAGAACAGGGTCAGTTAGCCCTGTAGAGGTGGGAGACATTCCAATAGGGCCACTGAACCTAGGCAGTTGGATGTAGGGAGGACAGGGTTGTGGAGGAGACTCATTGAGGGGGGGGTAGGAGAGGGTCTGTTTGCCCAGAAGTTAGAGGTGGGTATCTCCTCCTCCAGCTCCCCCCATTTTTCTCTCCAGATGATGCATTTGAAGCTCTGCGCATTGAGCCCTTCTCCAGCCCTCCAGAGCTGCCTGACGTGATGAAGCCACAGGACTCAGGAAGCAGTGCCAATGAACAAGCCGTGCAGTGAAGGCCTGGGGCCCGCTCCTCCCCAGGGCTCCAACCTCCCCCCTCCCCAAATAAAAGAGATTTGGGTGTCTGCCTGGTTGCTGCCTCTTTATGCGCACCCTCTCCTGACTCCAGGCATCATCCTCACCAGGGTGGAGCTCATTCCTTGCAAGACTCCTTCCTTCCCAGCCCTCTCTTGCTTGCAGGCTGGCTTGCTGGACCACAGGCTCTCTGTGCTCATCAATCCAGCCCCAGCCCAGCCTGTCTCTCAAAGGCCTTGGGGAAAGAACTGGGAGAAACCCAGAGCCCTAGGGCTAGTCTTTTTCAGTCTGCTCCTGTGGGAAGGGGGGGGTGGGGGGGGGCTGGCTGCACACACAAAAAATTGTTCATTCCCAATAAATAGTCCCCTTTGCTGCTTCCCCCTCCACCTCCGCACACTGGCTTCCAGGCAGGTGCTTCTTTCCTGCTCAGAGACCAGAAGCGAAAGTGTAAGCCAGAACCAGTTGTCTTCAGCAGTCTATGAAGAACCCTGTAGTTGGTCACTAGAAGGGGCAGCTCTTCTCCCTGCCCTTCTCCACCCAATAAAGACTCTGTACACTCATTTCCTGCATTTCTCATTTTTATTTGACAGAAAAAGTTGCTCTTGCTGTACAGATTTTAAAAAACCAAAATGTCCTTAAGAAATGTGAAAAGTTGGGGGAAAGGGCCACAATCTCACTAGGGGGGGGTGGGGCAGTAAGGGCCAGCTAATTTTAACTCCTGCCCCTTTCCATAACATACGAGTTCTCAAGTCCCAAATCATCACCTCCCCCTCTCCCCTGCACTCAGAGGTAAATGGGGGGGAGACGACAGTGCCACCCAGGCCCTTTCTGACTCAAGACAAGGAATCCTGAACTCTTTATTTCCTCCTCCAGCAACTCCCATTCTTACTCCCACCCACGCCCAACCCCCCCAAAACGTGAACCAGAAAAACTCACAGATTAAACATTTCACAGGAACAAAGAAAAAAAAGGGATAGAGAAAGGGAACCCCTTCAAGATGCTGCCAGGGTCTGGAGGGGACAAGCACCCCTCCCCACACACACACACACACAGCTGTTGGGGAGAAAAGGGGCACTCCCTGTGGCTCCAGAAATTGGGGTGCGGTGGGATTCCATTCCCCTCAAAAAACATTCATGGAGACCTGCAACAGAGAAGAACACCATTAATGCCATCTTGGGCAGCCAGAGCTCAGATAAGGCTCAGTCCTGGAGCACAGTGAGACACACCTGGAGGAGCGGTGCCGCACTGGGCGGGGGCTAGGTGTCTCCCTCCTGCGCTTGTGGCCTGGGGAGCGACTGTCCCCACGCTGACCTCTTCGGGAACCATGCTCACTGCTGCTGCTCCTGCAACACACAACAGACATCAGATCGCAATACACACACACACACACACACACACACACACAATCTCCTGCATCTTTAAACCTGAAAACTTTTTTTTGCAGAAGTCAGCCAAACTGGGCTGGCTATTGGCAAGAACACATTAGTGGCCTTACCTCTGTTGGTCCTGTGGTGAGGGGTGTTGGCGCTCGGCAGGTGAATAGCTGAGGGACCGGGAGTCCCGGAGGGAGTCTATTGGCTTCCGGGGACTGCGGGACCTAAGAGCAGAGAAGGTCCCCATAGTGCCACACACTTCCAAACCCACCAGCCAGCACTCGGGACCACCCCCCAGGTCTTGACCACCAAACCTCATACCACACAGGGCCAGCCTCAGACCCACCTTTGTCTGCTCACTCACCCAGCCGCCCGCATACCATCCACCGAATGCCCCAGTGGGCAGGGCATGGGGGATGGGACGGTGGGGGACACAAAGGTAAAGACAGTCCCTGCCCTTGGAGGGGCTGTCTGGTGGTGAAGGAAGGCCAAGAGGCACACTCTCAGCCTCATGTGTGGGAAGCAGCCCCACAGGGACTGATATAGGTAGACCTGGGGACTCAGGGGAGGGAGATGAAGGGAAGGGGGCAGGGTAGTCTTCTCGAAGGTGCTGTTTGAGCGGAGTCTTGCAGAACGAGGAGTTCACCAGGCGGACAAGGGAATTCCAGGCAGAAGGAACAGCATGTCCAAAGGCATGGGGTTCTCCTTAGACTGCAAGGCGCTGGGAGTGGCTGGAGCAGAGGGCATGTGTGGGGGCGGGCAGGAGAGGAGAACACAGGGCAGGCAAGGCCAGTTGGTGGAGAGCCTCACACGCCATTCCCGCAGAGACGGGGCTTTATCCTGCAGGCCACAGGGCGTCCCAGAAGGATTTGTGGAGTGGAGGGAAGTAACCAGATGTGCGTTTTAGAAAGATCCCTCTGGCTACATGTGGAAGAGAATGGCGTGGAGGCAGGGAGACAGGGAAGAGGCTGTGGACAGAGTCAGGAGATGATGACGGTGGCCAGACCAGAGGCCTGGCAATAGCAATGGGGAGACTTAAAAGCTAGAATCCCTGGGAACAGGGACCAGGCTGCACGTCAGGGGCAGAGAGAAGGAACCTAGGACTCCCCAATTTTGGCTGGGGCACCCACTTGGATGGCGCAGCCCTTGTCAGAACAAAGCACAAGAGTTATGTGGAGAGAAGAAATTCTAACTCCTCCCATACAACCAGACACCAGAGTCCATATGAGACACCCAGCAGGGAGGGATCTCACACTTCCAGGGACACATCCCACCCCTACCACCACAAGCAAGGTAGCACTCACCTCCGCTCACCAGGGGGTGGCTTCTTGGGACTTGCAGGTTTGGGCAAGGCCTGAGGGTCAGGCTTAGCAGGGGAAGGAGAGGATGTAGAAGAGGAAGAGGAGGAGGAGGAAGAGGAAGAGGAGGAAGAGGAGGAGGAAGAGGAGGAGGAAGAAGAGGAAGAGGAGGAAGAGGAAGAGCTGGAACTGGAGCTGCTATCGCGCCTCTTCCTCTTGGCTGGGGTTGGTTCCTGAGGTCGTCCCTCTCGTTCATTCTCTTTTGGGGCTGGGGGAGGACTAGGGACCCTGTAGGAAGAGTACAATGTCACAAGGAGAGACAAGCTGCCCCAACCCCAACCCTACCTTCCAAGACCGGGAGGAAGGGCAGTGGGGGAGGGGTGCTTAAGAAAGGTCCTGGGAACTCTCCCAGCCAAAGCCAGAGAGCCAGTGACCCAGTGAGCATATTCTCTGGAGAGCAGTGGCCCCAAGCTGACCCAACCTCTGCTAACATAAGCAATAGGCTGGGGGTCTGCAGCACAAGGGATCAAGGTTAAACCTCAAGAATGCCCCTGATGAAGGAAAACGGCCCCTGGGCTCAGGTTTGGGTGCAAAGCTGGGTGGTCTCCTTCCTTGGAGAGCCAGCTTGGGTAGGCTCCTGTGTGTGTGCGCGCTGGCTGGGGGAGGAGCTGTCCTGCCTGAAGGCAGGAAGAGGGATGGGATGACCTCTGAAGATCCTTCCAGCCCAGGGAGTTCCTCTTGAGGTCTAACTGCCATCCCTCCTGCTGTAAAATTAAGTCCATTTCCTCTAGTTCTGTCCTCTGTAGAGATGGAAAACTTATCATTATCCTCTAGAGAATTAACCTTTGGAGATTTTTCTGTCCCATTCCATCCACCAACACCCCCAACCCACATTCTCTCTATTCCCAGCTTAATGGTCATGTCCCCATACCACCTAAACAAGCCAAGAACCCTCTGGATAGGGCATTACCTTCCCCATCCCGACCCAATCTTTATAAAACCTTCCCCTTGGAAAAGTCCTAACAGCCAAGTCCCCTTACCTCTTCAGTGCCACCTCGGGTTGAAGGGGAAGGCCAGAGCCTTCCGAGTCACTGGAACTGGAGCCAGAGGAGGAAGAAGAGGACGACGACGACGACGACGAGGAGGAGGAGGAGGAACTAGACGACGACGAGGAGGAGGAACTCCGCCGCTCCTTTGCTGGCTGCAGGGCCCCCATGGAGGCAGGTGGTTCCCCCCCCTCAGGGTGGGAACCCCCAGGGACAGGGACAGAGAGCATGCCATTGTGGTCACCAGCAGAGGATGTGGTCTTTGCCGACCCAGAGAGGGACTGAGATCCTGCTACAGGGGTGGTCTGGGCAAGCAAGGATCGGGATTGGTCAGAAAGAGCAGATGGCCCAGGGGACCTAGGCCGATCCTGAGCTGGAGGGAGAACAGACTGTGAGGGAGGAGCCTGAACCATTCTAGAAACAGGAGAGGGAACCCGTTCAGAGGTCATTCTAGACTGGCTTGGGGCAGCTGGTGGGGTTCTGGAGCCTGGGCCTCCCGGTGGGGTTCTAGACCTGGCTCGGTCAAGGAGCGGTGGTGAGGTTCTGCCACTAATGCGCTCATAGGCAGAAAGGGGCACCCTGGGGCTGGTGAGGTTTGCACCAGACAAAGCTGGAGCCATTCTAGCACTGGTGAGGCTTGCAGGGGCCAAGGATGGCGGGGTTCTTGAGCTGGCAATATTCACAGAAGCTGTGGCATGTGTAGATCTAGGACCCACCAAATTTGCAGGGGTTGGTGCCTGGGGTGTTCTGGAGCTGGATGGGTAGTTTGCAGAGTTTGGGGGTGTGCCAGAGCCTGTGAGACTCAAAGCTGCCAATGCTGCTGGGGTTCTGGCTCCTGGTAGGTTCACAGCTGGGGCTGTAGGGGTGCGTGGATCAGCGAGGTTCACAGCAGATGGTGTGACTGCTGTTCTGGGGCTGGTCAAGTTCATGGCTGCTGCTGCAGCTGGTGTTCTCGAGTCAGCCAGGTTTACTGCTGTTGGTATGGCAGGTGTCCTGGCGCTGGCCAGGTTCATGGCTGCTGCAGATGCTGCAGGAATCCTACTGGCAAGGCTGGCAGCTGGGGCTGTTCTGAGGCTCATGAGAGGCACTGGAGCAGGAACCTGGGACATTCTTGCAGCAAGGCCTGCAGCAGACATGGATGGAGGAGGCCGAGCAGTGCCAAGACTGATGGCTGTCAGGGCAAGTGCAATTCTAGACTGAGCATGATTTTCTGGCACAGATGTTCTAGGATGATCAGGAATTCGGGGACCTGGACCATCCATCATGGAGCCACCAGCTTGCTGCAGGACAGACATGGGTGTTCTAGAGCTACCAAGGGGTTCAAGCATTCCAGGTGATCTACAGCGGTCAAGAGGAGTTGGTGACATGCTAGGACGACTGAAGCAACTCATTCTGGAGCTATTGAGTGCTACTGGAGGCGTCCGAGAACCAGAATGATTCCTTGTTGCAGGAGGAGTAGCAGAACGTGAACGATCAGAACTACTTCCAGATACGGATCGTCTACGGATGGCTGGAGGAGATCTTGTTAAGGACCTTTTACCCCGTGTCATTCGTGGAGTACGAGATCTAGAACGACGGCGGACAAGTGATGAACGACTTCGAGAGCGTTTCCGTGGCAAAAGTGGGGTTCGAGACCTAGAGCGGCGCCGAATAGCTGGAGGCGTTCGAGACCTAGATCTGCGGCGTGTCACTGGAGAGGTCCGAGAGCGGGATCTCCTTCGAGTTATTGGACTGGTGCGAGATCGAGATCTCCTGCGGGTGACTGGGGATGTTCTGGATCTGGATCTTCTGCGAGTGATAGGCGAGGTTCTGCTTCGAGATCGCCTCCTCATTACTGGTG